AAACATTTGACCAAATTAACATCTAAATATAATATAAAGTACCCATAATATAATACGTTTACGAAATAAAAATATTTTTGTAAATAAAGGGGAGCTTCCAACATCAGTCTCCAAAAATAAGTCTACGACTCAACAATAATAAGGGTCTATGACAGTACATGCGTACTAAATACTCGATATTTAATCTGATGGAAGTTCAAGTCTGAAAATCTCAAATTTGGTGATATGCTCCTCGAACTGGCACCTAAGGACCTGCGCACGAAAACACATTTCACACGTTGAGCTCACAAGCTCAGTGCCACACAAATAACCCAACTATAGTAGATGAATTCAACATATGAGCATGCTACAAGTATGGTTATGAACATTCGCATACAACAATAAAACAACAAGAGTAATCATGGTGTAGCTCGGGTCACTTAGATTTATATAACTCACACCCCTCTTTGCTTACTAAAGAACCTTAGGTGAGACCTAGGTCACACAACAACAACGTCTCCCTAAACCTCGAGCTGAGTCCAGGTTACATAGCGTCGAAACTCACTCGACCAGTCTACTCATCTAGATTACTCGGGATAGGGTTGGATTACTTAGCATCAACACTCAATCCAACTAGCAATTTAGAATGCACAACACTGGTTTGGATATATCCGGATAATTCTTATTCTACCACATAATCATCATACAAGTGGCTTAGGTGTCCTCGTCGTTTCTCGGGAATCATACAAAGGAATAAGTCTTATGGTATCTTATGTCATTAAGATCCTATGTTATCTCACAAATAATTAAGATGTTCCACTTGTGAGTTTGTTAGAAGGTTTCCTGCACTAAACCCTTTGGTTTCACCCCTCTAGCCTCAGCTAGGTTTATAGTCTAAACAATCACGATGGTACCAATACCCCTCTTTGGGTCTCGATACACCCCTATTGTGGTATCGATACTTCCCCGAGTATCAGTACCAAAAATGTATTAGATGTTTTAGAAATTATCTCAGTATCGATACTTGCCTGAGAGTATTGATACTCCCCTTCTGGGCATCGATACTCCCTTGAGTATCAATACCAAAATTGCATTCGATGTCTTAAAAAATACCTTGGTATCGATACCCTTATGGGAGTATCGATACTCTACCCTCGATATCGATACTTCCGTGAGTACCGATACCAAAATTGCTTTTGATGTTTCTAATCTAGGTCCCAGAGTATCGATACTAGGGCCCGAGTATCGATACCACCTGAGCAGCATCGATACTCCTTGATGGGGTATTAATACTCTCCTCATAAACCCTTTTAAATTTTGCCTTTACACGATCGATAGTATCGGTACTGTTATTATAGTATTGTTGAAAACATTTTTGATATTTCGATATAACAAATTAAGTTAAATGAATTTTAAGATTGTGCAATAATATTTTCTAAGTATATTCGATATAATTATTCGAATATCAAAACATTACTCTAAATCTTTCAAAAATCATTTTTAATCCTTAGTCAAGTGTAAAATTAAGTTTTAATCTTAAAACAATTTCAAAATAAATTTACAAAGTATTTCGAACCATTTCAAAGCCAAAAATTTCAGATTGCTCAGAGGGAACCGATTCCCCCCAAGGGGGTACCGATTCCCCCCTGAATAGTTTGGCTCCGAGAATTCCAGTATGCTCGGAGGGAACCGATTCCCCCCCAGGGGGTACCGATTCCCCCCTGTGTAACGGTCAAAATATTTGAATTTTACACTTAGGGAATCGATTTCCCGTAGGGGGTACCGATTCCCCTCACGCTCCAAGCTGTTTTATTAATTGTTTTCACACTAAAACGGCTATATTATCTTCTCTAATCATCCCCAACATTCAGAAATGATTCAAGGTGTATTTAACCAAGCTTAGAAGCCATTGATCAACAACAAGAAACATCAAGCAACTAGAATCAAGAGAGAATCAAAGAGAAAGCATCAAACCTCAAGTTTGAGCATTTCAAGCCATTTTTCATTCAATATTCATCTTGCTTTCAAGAACACTTATTGTGCTCAATTGTATTCATTTTTTAGTGTTCTTTTCTTTGTTCTAGAATTGTGCAAACAATCTACCTTGTGAGGATTTCCTTGTAAGTTTGCAAAATTTGTATTGTTCTCTTTGGGAGACAGTGTTCTCAAGAATTTGGGGTATAATTCTTGAGGGTTTGTAAGGTTACTCTTTGTCCTCAAAAGAAAGACAAATTAGTGAATTTATGGAAAATCCATAGTGTGGATAGCTAAGGTAGTGGACGTAAACTTTGGTTGAGAAAGTCGAACCACTCTAAATCGCTGTGCAATTATTTTCAATTTTCTGCAAAAGCTTCCACCAAAATTTTTATTGCCAATTCACCCCCCTCTTGGCCTATTCCGTCAATCGATTAACTCAACAATTGGCATCAGAGCCTAACTCATTTGAAGGTTTAATCGCCTCTTGAGTCGATTCGGGAAGAGTTATATTGATAATCAAAGTCATCAATGGCCTCCGCTTCAAACTTCAACTCCGGTCTCGATTCGATGCCCGTCAACAAGCCTCCTTTCTTCAATGGGGCTAACTATGCCTATTGGAAAAATAGAATGATGTACTTCATTCAAGCAAGTGACATGGGAGCATGGAATGTCGTAGAAGAAGGATACTTCAAGCCTCTCACTCATCTAAGATTATGGAGTGAATGAGAGACAAAAATGTTCCAGCTCAACTCCAAAGCCATCCATATCATATTTTGTGCTCTTGGACCAGATGAATACGGAAGAGTTTCATCTTGTACAATCGCCAAAGAAATATGGGACAAACTTCAAGTCACTCATGAAGGTACCGATGAGGTAAAGAAATCTAAAATTAGTATTCTAACGCATAGCTATGAAAATTTTAGGATGAAACCAAATGAAGATATCAAAGCTATGACGGATAGATTTTCAACGACTTTCAATGGTCTCAAATCATATGGAGAGATCATTTCAAATGAAAAACTTGTTAGGAAGTTAGTCTACTCCCTCCCAAAATCGTGGCAATCAAAGAAGACGTCAATCATCGAGTCTAAGGATCTAACATCCTTAACTCTTGAAGAGCTAATCGGTTCACTCCTCACTCATGAAATGATGCTTGAAGATAAGGTGGACCTTGATAAGATTGAAGAGACACCAAAGGAGAAGGAGAAGAAGAAGAAAAACATTAGAGTTGCTCTCAAATCCACAAAAAATGAGAGTGATTCGGATGAAGATGACGATGACGAGGAAATGGCATTGTTTGCCAAACGGTTCAGAAAAATGATGAGAACTTACCGAGGAAGAAAATTCAAACAAAATGAAGGCCTCAAAAATGAACCAAAAGAAAAGGACCCGATCATTTGCTATGAATGCAAAAAGCCAAGGCATGTCAAATATGATTGCCCACAATTAAAGAGGAAGGGTCAATCAAAGAATAAGCATAAGGTGCATGTGGCTACATGGAGCGATGAAGAAGGTTCTGGGGAAGATAAGGATTCTTTTCCTAAGGGGACTAGGATTTTGGAAACTAATGAATATGGACCCGAAAGAATTTGGGTACCAAAAATTAGAAATTAATCTATGTTTGTAGGAAAAGGAGCATTGCTACATGGAACGGGAAACAAATTCAAACTCATGGTACCTTGATAGTGGATGCTCAAGACACATGACCGGAGACAAAAGCCGGTTCATTAAGCTTAACGCCAAAAATGGAGGAGAAGTGACTTTTGGTGATGATTCAAAAGGTCACATTGAAGGTATTGGTACTATTGGTAATACCTCTTCCATACAAATTAAGAATGTTTTATATGTGAATGGATTAAAGCATAATCTATTGAGTATTAGTCAATTTTGTGATAAGGGATTCAATGTCATGTTTGATATTAATGGTTGTAAAGTCATTGACATTGCATCTAATCGGATTATGCTTGTTGGTCATAGAATAAGAAACATATACATGGTGCATTTAGATTCTATTGATATGACTAATTTGTGCCTAGTGGCTAAGGATGAACATGATAGTTGGTTATGACATAGGAGACTAGGACATGCTAGTATGAGTGTTTTGCAACAGCTAATTCAAGGTGATTTAGTTCGAGGGTTGCCTAAGCTTAAATTTGATAATGATAAAATCTGTGATGCTTGTGCTAAAGGAAAACAAAAGCGAGTTTCTTTTAAATCCATTAATGACGTATCAACTAGTAGAGTATTACAAATGATCCATATAGATATTTTTGGGCCAACTAGGACTACTAGCTTGGGTGGAAAACAATATGCATTTGTCTTGGTAGATGACTATTCTAGATATACTTGGGTTGTATTTTTAAGTACTAAAGATGAAGCATTAGAACATTTCATCACATTTTCAAAAATAATCCAAAATGAAAAAGGTTAATCTATAACTAGTGTTAGGAGTGATCACGACACTGAATTTGAAAATCTTGGATTTATTGAGTTTTGTAATTCTAATGGTATTAGCCATAATTTTTCAGCACCTAGAACCCCTCAACAAAATGGAGTTGTTGAGAGGAAAAATCAAACTTTAGAAGAAATGGCTAGAACCATGCTTTGTGAAAATAATTTGCCAAAATATTTTTGGGCGGAAGCCAGAAATACCGCTTGTTATATTATAAATCAAGTAATGATTAGGCCAATTTTAAAGAAAACTCCATATGAAATTTTCAAAAATAAAAAGCCTAAAATTAGCTATTTTCATCATTTTGGATGTAAATGTTTTGTTTTAAACAACGGTAAAGAGAACCTTGGCAAATTTGATGCTAAAAGTGATGAAGGAATTTTTCTGGGTTATTCCTTAAATTCTAAAGCTTATCGAGTATTTAATAAAAGAACTTTAGTTGTAGAAGAGTCTATAAATGTTGTTTTCGATGATAATCCCCTTCGAAGGAAGGATTCATGTGTGAATGATGATGTAGGTGTTATAAATACAAATGACGTTAGACATGAAGTTGGAGAACCATCATCAAAGGAAGAAACAAAAAATGAGTAAACTCATGATCCTCTTGAGAATCCAACCATTGAAGAAAGGGAAGTATCTTATCCAAGAGAGTACAACTATGTCAAGGATGGTGAAATTATAGGTGATCCATCCAAAGGGGTAACAACTCGATCTTCTCTTAGAAATATTTGTAATTATGTTGCATTTATCTCATGCATAGAGCCTAAGAATATTAAAGAAGCATTAAATGATGAACATTGGATTATGGCTATGCAAGAAGAGTTAAATCAATTTGAGAGAAGTAAAGTATGGACATTAGTTGAAAGGCGTAGTAATAAATCTATTGTAGGTACTAGATGGGTATTTAGGAATAAGCTTGATGAGAGTGGTAATATAGTGAGAAATAAGGCTAGGCTTGTTGCTCAAGGGTATACTCAAGAAGAGGGCATAGACTATGATGAAACATACGCTCCCATAGCTAGGATGGAAGCAATTAGAATGTTACTAGCATTTGCATGTTTTCATGAATTTAAATTATATCATATGGATGTTAAAAGTGTTTTTTTAAATGGTTTTATAAAAGAAGAAGTGTATGTGGAACAACCTTTAGGTTTTGAAGATTCAAAATTTCCGGATCATGTTCTTAAATTGACAAAAGAACTTTATGGTTTAAAACAAGCTCCAAGAGCTTGGTATGAAAGATTGTCAATTTTTTTAATTGAAAAAGGTTTTTCAAAAGGGAAGGTTGACACTACATTGTTTTTAAACCATAAAGGTAAAGATTTATTAGTAGTTAAAATTTATGTTGATGATATAATATTGGGTTCTACTAATGAAGTTCTTTGCCAAGAATTTTCTAAGCTAATGCAAAGTGAATTCGAGATGAGCATGATGGGGGAGCTCTCATTTTTCTTGGGACTCCAAATCAAGCAAAGAAAAGATGGCATCTTCATCAATCAAGCTAACTACGTCAAAGATATGCTCAAGAAGTTTGGACTGGAAAATGGCAAACCTCATGACACTCCAATGAGCTCTTCAACAAAGGTTGACTTAGATGAAGGAGGTAAATGTGTAGATGTTAAACTATATAGGTCAATGATTCGATCTCTACTTTATCTAACTGCAAGTAGACCAGACATTATGTTTAGTGTTTGCTTATGTGCTAGATTTCAATCATGCCCTAAGGAATCACATTTACTAGCTGTTAAGAGAATCTTTAGATACCTTAAGGACACTCCTAGTTTAGGACTTTGGTATCCTAGAGACTCTAGCTTTAGCTTGCATGCTTTTTCTGATGCGGATTATGGAGGATGCAAATTAGATAGGAAAAGCACCTTCGGTACTTGCCAATTCCTTGGAAATATTCTGATTTCTTGGTTTTCAAAGAAACAAAATTGTGTTGCATTATCCACCACTGAAGCCGAATACATTTCAGCTGGTAGTTGTTGTGCACAAGTTTTATGGATGAAACAAAAATTTTTTGATTATGGAATTGAAGTTGGTACCATTACTATCAAGTGTGACAATACTAGTGCTATTTGTCTCACTAAAAATCCCATCCAACACTCTAGAACTAAGCACATTGAAATAAGACATCACTTCATTAGAGACCATGTCACTAAGGAATATGTAGTTCTAGAATTTGTTGATACTTTGCACCAATTAGCGGATATCTTTACAAAACCTTTAGACAAGGAAAGATTTTGGACACTAAGGAGAGAATTAGGTTTAACCAACCTATCTTCACTTAGTGTTTAAAATAATTTTACACTTTTAAGACTAAATAAAAAAAATTTGCTAATTTTTTATTGCATTCATTGCTATTAGTTAGGGGGGTTTATGATTCTTGATGAAAAATTAATTTTATGTTCAAATATCTTTTAAAGAATAATTTGATTGTTTGAACATGATTAATTTTCTATATATGAGTTGCCAATACCACTACAGAAAATTAATTTAGCATTTTGTGTGTTTAAAATCGGATTTTAGCATTTTGGTGCAAAGGGAATCGATACCCCCATGAGGGAACCAATTCCCCCTTTGAAGGGGAACCGATTCCCCCCATAGGGGAATCGATACCCCCCTAGGGTTCTGGATTTTAACACGGGCAGAACCCTTAAATCCTCAAAACCTTCTTATCTTCTTCCTTCACGCCGTTTCTTCCCTCTACTCTCTCAAATCTCCATTCTTGCCTCAAATCAACGTTTTTAATCGGAATTCACTTCAAATATCATCTTCTAAACCTATTGGAATCATAAAAAACGTGCAAACTTCATCTAATCTCACTCAAATCCGAAATCCTTCAAGGTATTTTTCCAAAACTTCTATTTTATCAATTTATGAACATAGAACTAGTTTTAATTAGTTCTAGGTTGAACTTTAGATCAGGCATTGATTGTTTAGTGATTAGAAACTAGGTATTACAACTAATTTCATCAAAAACACAAGAATTTTTAAAAAATTTTGAAATTTTTGAAATAAAAAAAATGTTTTTTTTCAAATTATTGTGTTTTGATTGAATTATGTTGTTGTTATGAAAACTATACATATATTGTTTCTCAAAATCGTATTTTTCAAAAGTTTTCAAAAACTTTGCCCATTAGGATTGATTTAGAGAACCTTGAAATATTGAGGACTCAATTGAGTTTTGGGATTGATTGAATTGCATACATGTGTTTTCTAAATTGCAGGTTATCAATTCTATTCCGATTTCCTAAACCATGTCCAATCCTAAACGTGCTAGGTCATCATCTAGTCGCTCACACCGTCAACCAAATCCACCTCCAAATCCTCCTCCTATTCCTGAAAATTCAATTCCTAATCCTAATCCCATTGATCCTAATTTGTCTATTCAAAACTCGTGCTACAATCATCCTGGTCCTAGAAATCATCGTTTTTGGTATTATCAATATTTTGACTCTTACAAAATTAGAGAAGAACGTATTCCTTCTCGTCAAGCTATGTTAGATATTAATTTTAAAGATCTTCCTCTTTTACAAGAGTGGAAATTTGACAAACTCTTTGAACTTGAACCCATTGTCTACCATCAACTTGTTCGTATTTTCTATTCTAATGTCGTTTGTGTTAAAAACCGAACTGAAACCGAAACCATAGGAATTCGTTCCTACCTCCTAGGACAATTCTTATATATTGACTCGGCTTACATAGCCAATGCATTCGGATTAGATAATGATCGTATTTCAAATGAAAAACAAATCTTAGGATCTCGTTATAAAAGAAGGGATAGTGCAAGTGTCTTAGACCTTCATGAACGTTTTCTTCATCTAATAATTTCTTGGTGGTTTCGACCATCCGGTGGTCGTTATTCTACTCTTAGAGCCTTGGATCTTTGGTGGTTACATTGTTTCGAAAACAATATTAAAATAAACCTACCTCAGATCATTTTTGCTGAAATTGTTGAAACCGTAAATCTTGTTCATAACAAGAAACTATGTTCATCTCTAGTTTACGGTTGCATTTTGAGTAACCTATTTTCTAAAGCCAGGCTTAGAGTTGGTCTAGATGCCTCATTTCCTCTGAAGAAACAAATTAATCTTCTCTTTCTTTAACGAGAGCGGGATGGATAAAGGATAAGGAAACCGATGAATGGGTTCGATCTTCTGAAAATACTCCGGGAGCAAGTTCTTCACGAGCACAACCAGAAGCTGACGACGATCCCGAGCTTGAACAATTAATGCGAGACATCGATGAAGCCGAAGATGAGCCTAAAACAACCCAAGGAGCAGACCTAGGAGCAAGCACAACAAACACATCAAATGCCTCCATATTTTCAATCCTTTATGGAGACATTCAATTTCCGATATGCGACCATGGATTCGCGCTTTACTTTTATAGAGTCCCATTTATCCACAATGGGATCTCAACAATTAAAAATTCTTCGGGAGATGCGTGCAAACAATGAAGCAACCAACGCGCGTATTAATGAACTCACTCACGAAATGGCCGCTATGCGAGCTCGTTTTCCTCCTCCCGATCCGGATGTTTGATTCTGTGCTTAGCTTTAAAAACTTTGAACTAAAAGATTATTGTTTTAACATTTTGAATATTTTGGAATGTTTGAATTTGTGGATTGATTGATTTTGAATTTGTTTGGATTTATGAATGGTGAGAACTTATATATTTGGTGTGGTTAAATTTATTCATTATTGCATCATGTACATCATTTTAGCAATATGACCAATTTTGCCATGTCACATTAATTATGAATATTGATTATGAAACTAATGACTAACGTTTCTCTTGATTGTGATCTTAGCAGCTTAATCTATATACTCAATTGGCTAAATGACTTCAAAACCTTGTTTAAATTCTTTACAAATGACTTTTTGATTTAACAAAAAGGGGGAGAAGTGTTAAATGTTTTAAATGTTTTAAAAGAGGAGTAAGTGTTAAAGTAAGGGGGAGTAATTTTCAAAAACGTCGTTTTTTATTTCAAAATCTTAAAATTACTAAAATGTTTTGTTATATCAAAAAGGGGGAGATTGTTGAAAACATTTTGATATTTACATATAACAAATTAAGTTAAATGAATTTTAAGATTGTGCAATAAGGTTTTCTAAGTATATTCGATATAATTATTCGAATATCAAAACATTACTCTAAATCTTTCAAAAATCATTTTTAATCCTTACTCAAGTGTAAAATTAAGTTTTAATCTTAAAACAATTTCAAAATAAATTTACAAAGTATTTCAAACCATTTCAAAGCCATAAATTATAGATTGCTCAGAGGGAACCGATTCCCCCCTGAGTGGTTGAGTGGTTTGGCTCCGAGAATTCCAGTATGCTCGGAGGGAACCGATTCCCCCCTTTTTAAGGTCGAAATATTTGAATTTTGCACTTAGGGAACTGATTCCCTATAGGGGTTACCGAATCCCCCCACGCTCCAAGCTCTAATCATCCCCAGCGTTCAGAAGTGATTCAAGGTGTATTTAAGCAAGCTTAGAAGCCATTGATCAACAACAAGAAACATCAAGCAACTAGAATCAAGAGAGAATCAAAGAGAAAGCATCAAACCTCAAGTTTTAGCATTTCAAGCATATT